GAAAGAGATCTACTTGAGTGGTTGGGCTGGTCTTGAACCTGGTCAGCATGGATATGGTAATGAAGGTGATAGGGCAGAAAGTGGTGACCAGTTATGTGATGAGGATGAAAGTGACAAGAACGAAATCAACAATGCTGTACCATACAAGTGCATCAGTGCTGCTCATGAGAAAAACTACCAACATCATTTGGAACAGGCATACCTTGCTCTTCATGGACAAGATAAACCAGTGAATGTAAGAATACGGCCAGAGCCATTGAATCCAATGGACCCAAGTGCAATTGCAATTGATGTAGACTATGGAACTGGATGGACACATATTGGTTATATTGCTTCTCAACTATGCGAGTATTTGCACCCACTAATTGCCACAGGAGATATCTTAGAGGTCTATGTTCAGCATATCAAGTGTAGGGTTGACTTTTTTAAAATAGGATTTTATCAAAAAATTTTCATAAAGCGACGTGGTGAGTGGGAGACTCGAGTGGTAAGGAAGAGCAGGAGTGTATGTAGACAGATATTTGTGATATATAATTGTAACTGACTAGGTTTAGCAAGGTATAAAAATGATGTTATTTCAATTGGCTAACTTTTTAGATTTTCATAAACAAAAACTAGGTTAATCATAAGTGCATGGGTATGCACAAATAAAATAAAATAAAACAATGTCTGTCATGCACACCATAGACGGATTTTCATATTTATGGTGGTGCCAGAAATTCATATGGGGTGGTGCCAGAAATTTTAGGGGGGTGAGCCGTGATCAGGTGATGGAAGCAAGACAAAGTGTCACCAAACCCCAGTAAGGTCTATATTCTAGGGGTGGAGCACTAGAGCCATGAGGGGGAGTCTAGAGAAATTCCCAGCAAAAATTCCCAGTCCCAACAAAAATTTGAAAAAAATCATGATTTTCTAGCTTCGAAAAAAGTTTTTTGAAGTGGTCACAATTTGTCATATCAATGGATTTGGCATGTCCGATTGTCTGTTGAGACTTGAGAGAGTTAAAGACTTAAAGTGAAATGAACCTGTAAAAGTGTAAACCCAATAGGCCAATATGCTTTTACTTTTATAAAATCATTGACATTGTGTTGTTTGAATCTGAGTACAATTTATGATGCAACTCCGATGTAAATAATATTTGGGGCGTAAAGATTAAATCTAGGCAAGTCTATTTCCTAAAAGAATTAAAAACTAAAAATAGTGTTCGTAAAAATTCCAAACGTTCCTTGCGTGCAAGCTATTCGCATGACAAGGCACTGCAAACTCTATTCAGGGAAGATAATAGAGTTTCAAAATGTTACAATTGCTCCAATAAACCAGTGAATGCAAGCGAGGAGCGATTAGTTTCAGAGTGTTGCACTGTCTTTTCCTGTTCAAGTGTACTCCTACGTTTATTTTGTATCATCAACACTCTGCATGTTGGAGTGGACTATTATTTATTTATTATGCCGAATGATGTTGGGGGGGGGGGGG